GGCGCCGGCAGGAGGGCCATACAGCATATCCGCCAGAACAGTAAAGACAGAGCTATGGTTTGCCGTGATACACTAGGTGAATTCCCGCTCGAGGAGAGTGACGGACTGGTGCTGACGTCTGAGGCGCAGACTGTCATAGGACGGATGATGACATGAATTGCTCATCACATAAGTGGTCGTGCAGAGCGAGGACATCCCGAGGGTGAGCTGCGCCTGATTCAGTTGCGCAGTGCTTGGCTATGGGATATGTGCGGAGAGGTTTATCACAAGGTCCCGGTACTGGGGCTCCGATGGAACGGTCTCTCGTGTGCCGGTGATGCCTTCCTCGTTAGCATTTGAGTAAAGCTTCTAGAAGTCCAGAAAGGCCTAAGCGTCGGTATCTGATTTGGCAGAGGTGCTATTGTGACGCGATGTGAGATCTGACGCCGTCGGGGGGTGGCTAAGGAGGAAGATTTCGGGAGTACGGGGTTTGCTGTAGGTCTGACCACATGCTTGCTCGCGAGCAGGCCTCGGGGTCCGTTGCCTTAGCAATCTGTCTGCTGAAGTATCCGCAGTTTCTTATAGGTAGTCCTCGGAGAGAGGTAGGTACCTCAAGAGTCTGGGAGAAGAAGGAACGGCACGCGAACCGAGAAAGACAAAATTAAAAGTCGATCGAACTATAAATGAAAGCAATCTGATATTTTCTCTGATCCTTGACACACCTTCAAGATTGAGACAAATGAAAAATCCTGTATAATAAAAGTGTCAAAGAAGCTCATGCTAAAAAGAAACGGGACAATAATAGTGAAATAGTGGTGAAACAGCGACGATCAAGCCCAGAGATCAGTTCATACGGCGGTGTATAGCCGCCAGTGCGCCATATCGCATTTTGCCAGCAGAACGTTTCATAAAATTACATATGTAGTATATGAGTACTTTATTACTATAGAAATGGATAGAAATTAATAGTGTAGAAAATGACACTATAAGAAGTTGATATATTGTAGAAATTGAGATATTATAGACAAGAATAGTCGCCCGCTTATACGGCCGTAGTCTGGTAGTCTTCTTAGGCAGTCTTCTCCGATAGTCTTTTAGATATCTAATAGTAAATTAGCAGTGTGAAAGGCGGTCAAAATTTAATATGAAGTACGACATGGCACACTAGCGGCTATACACTGCCGTAAGTTCATGATGATTGGTTAGTACGCAGATCCTCCGTCAACCTTATAACAGCCCCATGCATGGTCCAATCAATACAGGTCAATGTTTGATCAAAACAGCTTCAATCTACGCTTATTATATTTCGACTGCGGAGAGCTATTATGCTGATTAAAAATGGAATTTAAAATCGTCACCAACTGCTGGCTACGAAGCTTCTGATCGAAGGTAGGTAGTATAGACCTTTACCAAGCAATACTCGGGATATTCTATTATGGTCTATCATTTCTAACTATACGCAGAGGCGTACCTGAGTGTCATCACGGGCGATGAATATGAGACGGTCTCGGACTTCCGGCTCTCGACAGAGAAGAAGACTTGGGTGACAGAATGGGCTGATTTGTCGGGCGGCTGGATTATTGCGCTCTTCCTCGCGATCGTCAATAGCTAGTGGAAGCCTGACAAACAAAGCCTCTATGCAGCTCTCAAAACTGTAGCTAGGCGTGAATCTCAAGGTCCTTCTCTTAATCGAACATACATTCCCTCAACTAGAGGCACTGATTCGGTCGAAAGGGTGACTAGGCCGATATCTTCGCCAGGCCTCTATGATCCCCACAGCACCATCGCCCACTAATTTGAAAGCACTATGACATAGACTCGTACGTCGACTTACCCTAACTTCTTTCAAGGCTAATACTTCTAACCGTCACATTCTATTATTCTCTCCTACACATCAACTCATACATACGACCATAGGGTGTGGAAAACAGGGCTTCCCGTCCGCTCAGCCGTACTTAAGCCACACGCCGGTGAGTTAGTAGTTGGGTGGGTGACCACCAGCGAATCCTCACTGTTGTATGTTTTTGTAATTTTTAATTTTTTCCTTGCCACTACTCTCTCTCTGCACGGCCAATACACCAATGCGCCGTCGCCCAAGTGGCACTTCAGGGGTAGTGAGTGCGGGTGATATGGGTGAGAGAGAGGTGATAACGGGTTGACAATTCTGGCCTAAGCATAAATTCAATCATCAGAGTGTCTCTTTTCGCTCTGCCCAGATTTGGCTTGCTTTACCAAAAAAATTCCAGAAAGCGCTCGAAGAGAGTCGCTCGTGCCGCATCAGTGGATTCATACGTGAATATCAAAACAAGAAGGAATATGAAGATATACCCATTTGCTTAATGATTTGTCCCTTTTCCCGACTTATCAGCACCTAAATCTCCAGCCAGAAAATTCTCAAATAGATAGCTTCGTCCGTATACACACCAAGAAATACCTAGTTAGTATCTCGGTGGTATTTTTCGCGTTTTTCCTTTCAAACTTCAGGAGCCTGCTAATATCGGAATGGCGTTATAACGCTTCGTTATTCGCCTTGCTTTCGTATTTTTCGAGCCCATCCCTCCGATGATATTAGTCCCAAAGAGCCCCGGGCTGACAGGCTACGTGGGCTACGTGCGAAGGGAATAACTTTTTATCTTGTGCATGACATCTAACTCCAGTCGTTACTTTTCATATTTCTGCCTGAGCGACATTCATCCGCTTGACACATGATTGTGCTTACCACTTAATTCGATTATTCAATAGTTCATAGAATTATAGAGACAATTGTCGTTTCATGAGCCTGAGTTTATCAACTCAATTCTCATTAGTCTTAAGAAAACGTTGATTCTCTATCGATACATTCATACTCGATGAGACATCTTGACCGGGTTGGCACCATTCCATTGCACTCGAGGGAGCTTCTATTTGAGGAATCGATCTGCCCCGACGCTTCGGTTCCATCATGGTAGTAGATGAAGCCGGAGCGAAAGATATAGCGAATCCGTTAGCAGAAGTTGGGGTTGACGCAGAGGGAGATTGTTGCATCAAGAGATAACTGCAGGTATCCGGGCAAAACGAGCCCTGCGATGGATATTTGCCGCAGCTTAAACATGACTCATATTCGCAGGGCATTTTGCGAGACTGTCGGAATTGAAATTGATAATTTCTACTGGGATTGCAACACGGAATATAAATCGTTTGCCTATCCCTAATTGAGGCTCATTATGGTTCTGGTAGACCACGGATCTAGCTAGAAGTATGAAAATTAACTCACACAATTGATTATCAGGTAGCAAATATAAAAATTACTCGAGTGTGCTGTTTAATCCATATACTGCTTTGGCAGCGATAGGCCACGATATCTTAAAGTTAATTGCCAAATCATCATGCTATTGGCTGGAAATAAATCCCACTTGGTTCCAGCCATTCAGTGGTGGTCGAATGCAACCACAACCCATGGACGAGCACCTTGCTTACCTATACAGGCCTCGGGAAGTTCGGTTCTGTCTAAAATATTGGACTATCTGCTTGTAGTACAAGGAATGCCGATGGCCCTTTTCAATTTTCACAGGCTGAGACTGGCCCTGAGTGCAAGCCCAGTATGCATTTGATCAGGAAGTCAAAATACACTCATGTATGTAGCATAGCTCAATGATTCCAATATTTCATTATTATTGTGATATTTAGCTTTTTATAAAGCGTTAAATTGATTGAGACCACCGTGGACCCCAGTAGTCCCACTCCAGGTCGTACTGGGTGAGTGGGCGGCAAAACCGCCGCGTCGACATGGATAACATCACATTGATTCCCTTAGTGTCCCCGTCCTCGCCACTAATCTATGTGGTACCGGCTATAGCGCAGATGCCGGCGGTGTTCTTATCCACCAGCGAGGGCTTGAAGTAAGGAGCAGCCACGAGGTCCATGGGTTCCTCCAGGTGAGGGATGCACTTGGCTGACCCATGCCACTCTTCCTATGGTATTTTACAGGCTGGAAAGACAGTTACATGATTGGTTGTTCATCGCTAATCCCTTCGCTTTTAAACTGATGCTCTAACAATGTATACACTGAATTTGCACGAGAATTTATTGATGCTTTATAGGATAGCTTATGGCGCCTTTAGAGGCCACACCGCCACGCTACTATAAAGGAAGTTGTTACCGTAAAACCAAAGAAGGGGAGTCATGGACTCTCGAATTGAGCAAGATTATAGAGAATCTTTCGGTCTTTAGAATAGTCACTCCTACGGACCTAAATCGACTAAGGCGTGATCTTCTCCTCAATGCGATATAGCTTCCTGAGGCCACTGGCTTAGCTTAGTGGGACGGATTCAAAAAAAAGGTCCTGGACGAAACGCCCCATTCGCGGAGAGCTTCCCCTCATTAATTTCTCCGTACCGTGCCCGAGATCGATTGGCGAGGAGAGATAGAGAGATACGCCCGATTCCGATGCCCCAGTTTCTCCAGTGTCTGGTCCCGAACGATGACGTCGCGGAGATGTGGGGATTTCTCCGCGACATCTCGGTCATGCACCGTCAGCTAAGCGCTGCCCGGGCGCAGCAATAATACTAATCACACATTCCAGGAGGGAGTGGAGACTGCTAGTCAGTATTGAATTCTACACCGTCGACGCATTTGTCGCTTGCATCGCCACCGCATGAGACTAGCCCTGACTTCCGAAGGCTTTACAGTTTACACGGCAAGCCGGGCAGTGGACAGAAACAACAAATAATATTGACCACCAAGACCTCTAGGTTTACGTGGGGTATATGGCTAGCTTCTAAATCGCCGCAACATTGCCTTGAAAGACCCTGTCGTTCAATATCACACTCATTTCCCCAAGCGAGGGGCTCACGTCCGCCACATTTGCGAAGATTTCAACAGCCATTTTGAGGCCTCGGGCAACCCCCGGAAGGACTGCTACTTCAGATAGACACGGTTCTGCAAGCGCTGCCAACGTCGCCATCGAAATGGTAAACACACTACATCCCCAAAATAGGTCAGCCTGTCTTTCCGGTCGCAATGGGATAATACGGATGCCACGCTCACCTCGCATATAAAGTCCAGACATTCGGTTTGCAGACCGTTACAGCGGCAGCGGCACTGGTAGCAAATTCAGCATAGCTAGTAAAGAACTTACTGCAGTGGCGACGGAGGTCGTCGTTTGCCTCCCCTGCACTGAGTGCTTCATAGACCGCAGGCCAGTAGATCGACGCCTTGAACGCGTAGTACTGCGTGCGCAGGAACTCGCCCCGCGTTGAGTTCCGCCACGAGCTGCCGATGCATGAACTTGAAGCGCGGAATGATAACGGCTCTGGCAGCATCTGCAGCCACTCATCTAATTGGCGCTCCAGCTCGGTGGCGACAATGGGCGCGTAGACGTGACTGCCCTGGGACAGAGTGCTGATCGACCAGGTGCAGCGCCGTAGCATTTTGCGCATAGCGATCTCCGCAACGAAGTAGGACAGGTCACTATCGCTGTCGCTTGTACCATTTGTACTATTGGGAGACTCGAAAGGCTGTGGTTGGTTCCAGGTCCAGGTTGCTGAGCTTGCTAGGGCTGGGGCGTATGAAGCCACGCTCCAGATTCCACTGTCGACGAGGTCCAGTTGGACTCTGATTTCGCTATAAAGCGGTTAGCTTCCTCCCAGGTGGGTGACTGGCCGTGACTTTCTATTTTCTCAACAGGTGGCACAGTCGAGGAGGGGTGAAACCTTTCAATCAACAAGGCTGACCAGAAGCAGTTTCGGAAAATTGATGCTTCTGTAGTAACATCATCGGCGCCTAACTCACTGTGATACCCCAATGTTCAGCAGTCATTCCCGTTTCTATCGCACTATGCATTCGCTCACTTTATCAAATAGTTCTGCAGTCTATACGATGCCATCACCACATAGTCGTGCGCCTGACATGGTCGCGCACAACAAAGGTGGTATATACCGAACAAGAGCAGGCACTGCGCGCTGCGCGGGCTACTGTTTGCAAAGACACATGGGAGCATCTCCTTAGCCGCTTGTATGTATATCGCCTCCGGGCGTCTCCGCACGGTGTCCATGATGGTTTCGCACTTCACCACACATCCAATAGCTAAGATAAGAAGAGTGAGGCACGACCCCACTGAGGGCGGGAAATAGGACGTTATTGCCTGGACGAACTCTTCGGTGTACTCGGCATGCAGAATTGGGTACCAGATGTAGATTTGCTCCATAAATGCGCTGTGAAGGCTAATCGGAGAGCAAGCTGATGTCAGACTCGTTCTGTTCCCAAGAGTGATTGCTTTGCTTTGACTTACATGGACGCGTGCTGGAGATCGATCATCACAGTGGGGGTTCTAGGTGGCTGAGGAGTTATTTCTGGTCTTCCGCGCTCCAGGCCTTCGAGGAACACAGGTAGGGATTGATCCAGGCTAAGGAGGTTCATGAATGCTGTATTTTGGATTACCATTATCGGAAACCCGGTGGACGCGTCACGATCTGTTAAGGAACGAGATAACTGCTGCGCCTTAGGCGAGGGAGAGCTTTTCAGAGACTGGCCCTGTACTACTATAGTAATGCGCTCTAGCTGCTCCCATATCCTCGATAGCTCCAGCTTCTGGCTAGGATACGGTTAGAAATCAGATCGGTATAGTAGCTCGCGATGAGGTATTCCACTAACGGAGATGGTGCAAGGTCTTGGGGCTCCTGATAGAAGCAGTCCTTGCTGCGCTTAATGCAGAAAGAGCACTTGGGTCGATGCCCGTCGCACTTCGTCCGTCGTGCTCGACATGTGTTGCACGCCAGCGCGCTGCGCCGTCTCCGGCTGTCATGATCTATATTCATTGTCTGCTTGATGCCGGTGGGCCACCCTTGCTGGCAAGTGGATGCCTCAGGGGTGTGTACATTCCATAATAAAAGGGTATGCGAGATTATGGCAATGGATGTGCTCAGTGGAACCAGACCACAGTTCCAGCTTTAAACTATGATTGATGCAAGAGCGTCCCTCTAGGTCCCTGGTTGGGTAGGAAAACTCCACCGGCGTACTTCAGCTACCCCTTTGTGTACGTTACAGCGTGCCCTGCCCCATGGCATCATGCTTCCAGAACACACGAAGAACATCTCTATCTCATCAAGGCGGGGAAGGAGCGGGAAGGGGTAAGAATAACCATCGAATGGGCATTCCCTCTTCTTACCGAGTGGATACTTGGCCAGCCACTACAACCTTGAAGTCCTGATAGTATCGGGCAACGGGAGTGGGGTAGGCTCAGTGTATGTGATGTGAGAGTCGACCGTCGGATCTGAAGGTCCTTTTCCCAGAAAGTGGCTGGCGGGTGGGCAGATATCAGTGGTCCTCCCCGGTGCCCCGGAGAGGAGAGGTCCGAATGATGACTCGTGGGCCGTGGATGTTGGGCACGGATCATCCTCTAGCTTGCATGATTTAATTCCGTAATGCAGATTTCATCCCTTTAGTCGCCTGCCTCCGCATTAGGGTCTAACTAGTGTCCAATGAGCTGTCCTTCCTGGCAAGAAGGTTATACCCTAGAGGACATTCCTGGTGATGGACAAGAGCCTAGAGCAAATTGCAGCGCCCTGACCGAAATGCATACGTTGACTCCTCGGCCACTCTTCAGCGGGGACCAGCGGGGACAGAGTAGTACATTTTATGGGTATTACGCAAGCCTCTCTCGTATATTGTAGGGTACATAGCCACTTAGTCGCCTTTCAAAGCAAAGAATTTCCCTTCATGCAATATGTACAGCGCTGTCAGGGTGTTTCAAGGAAATATTATCGTCAGCATTGGGCGGAGCACGCTCATCTGTGAAAGTCGGGTGACTCCTGAAGTCTACGGATATTTAGACTCCGGATGCAGGTGATCAAGGCCGTAAAGAAGAAAATAAGGAGAGTGCTGACCTATTGTGTGCATTCCATTCCGCGCGAGCCATCTAGTACTAAGCTTGTCAAGTGCGGTCTTGAAGTCGTCCAGAATAATAGTGTCACAGAGGCATTTGAACATGAAACATAGCTGAAGAGCTCGACCGCTTGTTAATCCCGGACCTTGAGAGCAACGAGAGGTTGACACACAGGGGCTCACCTTCCAGAAAGGGTTGATTCCGGTGGGCATTGCAGCGCTGAGTACGCCAGTAACGCTGAGGACGTCGGCGACACTGAACAGGATAGAGAGGCACATTGAGCCCAGCATGAGGCCGAAGCGGGGGCATTCGCGCACCAGCTCAATGAGTCCGAAGTTGTAATGTGTTTTTACCACCCAGAAGAGATTACAGGTTGTGTAAATCCACCAGGGGTCGCTGGGAATGCAGTATACGTCAGTGAGAGAGGATCACGGATCAAGAGGATGTTGCAACAATGGAACGGTACTCTACCGGAACAGTGCTTCCCATGGACGGATCTTTTCGTACGCAACGAGACTGATATTGTTAAAGTAGGCGAAGTTGGCGTATATCTCGGCCGCCCAGTAGGGCTGGGCCAGGACAATCGTGCCGATATAGAAGAGAGACAGTTCACGGCTCATGAAGGGCCTATTCTTCATCCACGCAATCACGTTGTGTAGGGACCAGGATATGATCAATCCGATTGCGGTTGAGGCCAAGTACCATCCATATACAGGGTTTGGCGCAAATATAAAGGTTCCGTGAGCGGTGGCCAAGATCAACTATCGCAGAAGTTCGCCGGTTAGCAGGTACTATTCACATTGAAGGTACTGGGAGTTACCTCTAGTAAAATCAGCTTGTGCAGCAAGACGCCCGGCCGCATGTTTGCAAATGTGACCGCCGCCATGATGACCAGTGAGCCCGTCATGAGGCCCTGGGACCAGGCTTCCAGGACCAACGCAGCAGGGTCATCCTCTGGGCGTTGAACAGTTCTCCTCGAAAGGGTCAGACGGCCCGCCCGGACAATATTCGGAGCTCGCATAATGAGGTCTCGGTCATATTCTGTCGGGGGAGGGGATAGGGGTAACAAAAGGGAGACGCAGGAACGTTTATACATGAGCGCTCATTGGAATATATATATAGCCTCTTGAGCGGGGGAAGGAGGTCGAAACTCACTCCGCATTTCAGGACTATGGGGAAATCTGGAGAGCGTTCGAGTGAAAGTTACTTCAAACAAAGTTCTAGAAGGGAGCCAGAGACCCAGAAATGACGCACCGTTCTTGGATCGTGACTGGACAGGGCACCGATGGCTTCGCGGAGAGGGAGGAGCTTCCCCGCGATTGCTGCTTTAGCGACCTGTGATTGGCTTGTTTCGCAAAACTAAACCGATCCAATGATAAGTATCACCAATCAGCTCCAAGAAGGGTCCACGGGTGGAGCACAGGTACTCGCATCTGATAGGGGCATTATTTATAGTACGGAAGTAACATTGTCTTCTCTAGTGGCGCGATAAGAATCGCTAACTGGCGAACTAAACCGCATCTTGTTAGTCAACAGCAGCAAGGGCACCGAACCTGTTGGGCAACAATCTACAAGTATTTCCGCGGGTTCAAATATGCTTGTCATCTCCTCTCGTATTCTGGAACACGATGACAGTTGCATCTCACTCGCCATAAAGTGACAGCGTCATACCTTTGAAATCCCCAGATCATGTATGGTTCTCTGGAAATGCTCCCATATAGATCCGCATTTTCAGTCTGCAACCACTGTCGCCTGCGCAGGAGGCGATGTGACCGAGCCAGACCCAATTGTTCACTCTGTGTCTCGCAAGGCGTGCAGTGTGTATATGAACAGCCTCCGGATTCTCAACCATCAGAGCAAGTCCTTCCTCTCCTGATGGCCTTGCATTGGCTAAGTACATGGCAGATTGGTACAGGAACTCATGAACATCCGAGAGAGACTGGAGTATATCACCCCACTAGTGGAGCCGCCATCGCATCACGTCACATTATGTGACAATATCACACCGTCTGCTCTTCCACAGGGTTGTCCTCCCCTTGTGATCAAGTCTGCTCATCTCATGCAGATTTTTGGTTTACCGTCAGATCTAGCATGTGTCTTGTACCGGCTGGAGCGTTCCTCTGCACAGATAACTGAGTATTCGGCTGAGCGTAGGCCTGTCGGTTCTGCTGATCTGTCAGTCTGATACGAATGAGCAAACAGATTGATGCATACTGACGACTACTAGTATTCTCCACAGGTTTCACGCCCACACGCACCAGTGGTATCCTGTTCTCCATCCAGATTTCACTCTTCACTTTCGCGAGTCGAGTGCTGCCGGTTTCCCTCCCTCTGCAATGTCTTGCTTGTCACTCCTTGTCGCGTCACTTGCACATTTAAGCCATGACTACACCCAATCCTCACCCTTCGAGGCCGCTTCGTCTATGCTCCCAATAGTCATTCAGGAATGCAGCGTGACAAGCATTCAGTGCTTGGTACTTTTCAGCCTGTACTCTGCATGCCTGATCAAGCCAAGACAAGCGTATGATTATATACAAAGCGCGTTCCTAAAGATTCAACCATTTTTCAAAAGGTACACTTTCGTTTGGACTGCCTACCGCGTCGTTTCTTGCAAGCTGCCCAGGCGTTTTCTAACGGAATGAAGCACTCTTTGGGGTCAAAGCTCTCCCAAATCGCAGCTTATAAGGCGCTTATATTGGACGATTCACATGATAGAAAGGTTGGCCCAAGCTGACCGCCTCGCTTTGAAAGCCCTAACAAGGATATAGCGAGCTTTCTATGCACCTAAGCCTATCGTCTATAGGCAGAACCATGCGTGCCCACTTGGCTATGGTACCCTTACCGGCAAACACAGATCTCTGGGACTGGTTCGATGATTCGCATTCACCCTCCAGACTATCCTCGTCCGACGGCTCACACATAAGCGAAGCTTACTCGCCAACGGAAACACCTTTCCACTTTTCTACGGAGATACAACTACAAACAGTGCTAAACAAATACACCAGTTCCATAATGGATGAGTTGAGCGCTAGCGGGGAAATTCCAGATCCCGGTCACCCTCTAGAGTCTGCCCTAGGCATGCTCTGCTCAAGTATTGCACCGGACTCGCCCTCTGAACCGACCAGCGAGTACATCGACGGTGCCATGTGCCGAGCTAAGTATCACTTGTATGAAGTGTCAATCTACTGGCCGGTAATATACCGCATCATCATCAATGGTTCTGCAGACCCCGAGCTGCTAGCCTACGCGCCGCTGTTCTTCCAATCCGTGACAAACTTCCTCGGTTCAGCCAACCTCGCTCTGCGAGTATGTCTGCCGAAAACCTGGTTTCTATGTGCGAGGTATGTGCTGGGAGTTGCCGTTATTTCTTTTCTGTCACGGAGCTGTACTTACGCACCGCGCTTAGTATATACATCGTATGCATTGCCGCAATTAGGGCCTTGGAAGTGCGTTGTCTTCGGTTGCTCTGCCAACCGCAGTTCTGGGACCATATTGACGCGTCAGTTGATGCTCTGCACCGGCCGGGTATGCTGAGTCCGTCTGTGCAGTATATGCGGGAGTCACTGAAGGCTCGATTGGAGGGGACCAAGATTCAACAGAGGGCTTGAGTATCCTACGTGGTTGCATCGAATTTCTTATATTCCATGGTTTCAAACGACGTGGTTTCAATTGCTCGGTAGGAATTACTTATTCTTGCGCTGCGAGTCGTAGTAAAACTTTCCTATTCTTGATTCTGTTATAAGTCTGCGCTTAGTGTTTCCAGAGCTCAAACCCCAATTTAGTCCGGTTTAACTGCTATAAGACCCTACCGCCTCGTAGAATGCACTTCCTTCACCCCCAGCTTAATATTGCTCGTTGCACCACCAGTAGAGAAAAGTCGACCGTACACAGCCTCAGTAGAAGGGAAAATCTGGCTGGTGATCGTGACTTCAC